AACTTTGACAACATGTTAGAGCAATAATATATGACATGCAAGTCACACAAAGCATACCATCAAATTCGTACATGAAAGGAGCTTCTAATGATAATTTTCATATTATACATATCATATACTATTAATCTTACCAATAGTCATATATATATATATATATATATTTATGGATGGAGGGAGTATGTACTTTTAGTGGAAATATGTTCATATGTATTTTATGTTGAGCTCATTTTATGTTAATAAGGGTTTAGTTGAAGTCAGCAAACGCAAATATATCATATATTGGCTTAGCATGGTTTTCCTTATGATTAACCAAGACAACCATCTTTCCTAAAAAAAGAAAACCATCAGGGTGTCAAGAAAAACCAAGGCAACCATCCGAGACATGGTATAGCACATTGGGAGTAGCTATTTTTGTCACAAAATTACAGTTTTTCCCATCAGGTTTACTAGTTGATCGCCAAATCTTTTATGAATGTCATACGGAAGGAAGGTATTAGTGCAGTACTTACAGCTCGACAAATTAAGCTCACAGAGGAACCAAAAGATATAGGGGAAAAGGAAGCAATGTAAAAAAGTACTCCCTCCGATCCAAAATAAGTGTCGCAATTTTGAACCAAGATTAGTTCAAAACTCTGACACTTATTATGGATCGGAGGGAGTAACAAGTAGGGTGCCCATGGGGACCATTGACAAGCACCAGAGTAGTAGCCATGGTGAGGAGAATAGAGACCCACTCCCGCTAGCGCGGATAGAAACAAGGTGGTGGAGGACCTCTAGGAGATAGACCCAGGACACAGAGTCAAAAGCTTTGGCCGTGTCAACCTTAAGATTAGGAGAAAATTGTGGTGAATATACCTTCCCACAATGAACACACTTTGGTTGGCGGAGGCAAGCAGGGAGAGCTTTCGTGTGAAACGAAGGGGGGCACCTTCATGATGAGATGAAGGAATAGGTGAATAAGGCTGGTAATCAAATACGTTAGAAGCCTCGGGTTGCTTGGAGAGAAAGGCGATCAAAGCCTGATGAAGCCCATGTCCATCATCTTACTATCGAAAAGTGCTTCTACTCCTAATAATCAAATTGAATATTTTTTTGTATCTTTCCTTCCATGGTCAAGGGCTATTGGCCATTCTCCTAACAGTATTAGGGTAACTACTACCATGATAGAATAATTAGTATTAATACTAAAAGTAGTATCATTCCTACTGAACTATCCTGAATAAGGTGGACTGGCCAAGGACGCGGAAGTTCCTTGAGAATAGGTCCTGTCAATCTCAATCCCTCATTGTGAGCATATCTAGTTGCAGATGATATAATAATCTTCACAAATTGGTCCAAACGTTATCTCAAATATCTTATGGAATCTACCTCGGGACAACTCATAAACATGGCGTGGGCGACTGTTTTGTATTGTCCAAACCAGCAGAGCATAAATTGTAGCGGGCACACTTGGCTTTGCAAGGAAAGACCTATATAATCCTCTCTCGGTTCATATCATAGAACTTCTCAAAAGCGTCACAGAAGTCCTTCGTAATGATCTCCCAATATCTATGGAGGAACTCATTAGCTTAACCATTCGGGTGCGAGGCCTTGTCCATGGGTAGTTGTTGAATGGCACCCAAGATCTCCTTCTAACCGAATGAGCACTCTAGATCCTCAAGCTCAAAGACCCTGTTCTCGAGTTATTGGAGTAGAAGTGGGCACTCCCGTACGTCCACAGTCCCAACAAGGCAAGAGAAGTGACTGAAATCCGCCTAGTCATGACGGCCTCATCAGCCACGATGCACGGAGAAATAGTAAGCTAGTGGGTGAGGTTCTTCTGCTTATGATGTGGTGCATGAAGATGAAAGAACTTGTTGGTCTATTCATCTTTGATGCACACAATACGCTCTCTTTGTTGCACCATAGTTCGCTATATGTAGGCCAGCCCGAGGTAGGTGCCCTTAAGCCATCACTGGAGCCACGACTCGGATGGTGAGAGGTTCCTCTCGCTTAGCACCGCGTCAAGCGAGGCGATGATCACACATGCGAGCATGAGTTGGAGGGATATGTTGCCGATGGATCCACCCCACCACTCACACAATACCAAAACAGATTACTCATCACGCATGAGGTCTACTACTTTACTAGTTGATTGCCACACTTGTCATGAGTATCATATTTAAGGAAGGTATTAGTAAATTACGTACAACGTGACAAACCAAGCTCACAGAGGAACCAAGATATAGGGGGGGGGGGTAAAGAACCGATGCGTAAACAACAGCAAACATGAATTGTAGGATAAAGAACCCATGTGTTAAATTTCGTGTCTCCATATTTTCTCTCTCTATTCTACGTCTTGCAATAGTGCCACCTCCATTGCATCAAGTTTGAATGAGGTTTAATTGTGCTTCGAAGATGTTTTCCACAAACTTTGAATGAGGTTCCATTTTTTTGTTATAAAGGATGTTTTTATTTGCATCAAGAAGAATGAGCACACACCTGATCTCTACATAATTAGTATGCACACAACCAACACACAAAGAAAGCAAAACTCGACCTCCAAAAGTCCCATTGAAGCAAACCACCGATAACATAGTATATAAAGCAAATCCTTATGAATCTATCTGTGCATGCATCATTATCGCATCCAAACTGTGAGAAAGTGCTTCAACAGTGATGTTTTCAAGTAGAGAACTATGCGCAGCGCTACTGTCGTCAGATCTACTGACAAAGGCTAGATATTGGGTTTTCACCCTAAAGAGGAATCACTAGAGAACTCCAAACATTACCACCAACAAAGGGATGTTGTGGAGCACTACCATTCCCAGGTTAAATCAACTCAACTAGAGTTTTCACTCCAGAGCTCGAGATCATGTACTTAGAGAGCACCACCAAACTTAAATCACCATGTACTGCCGCCCCCATTTCCAATGAAGGAGTCGCTATTGTAAGCCAGAACATCACACCTTGAGGGTTGTATAGGTACACACTCTGATGTGGACATCACCGACAAGCCCACGTATATAAGGAGCGGATCATGTCTTGTCCCCCAGCATCGACGAGGTCATCGACGACAAGAACAACCCACTGAAGGGGTCATCTGACAGCCCCAAGTGTTCGATGGTGATTGATATGGTTCATCCTGTATATGCCAGTAAGGGTTCAATTCGAAGTTAACAAACACAAACATATGCCATATTGGCTGACCATGGTTGTCCTTCTGACTTATGACTAACCAAGACAACCATTAGAGACCAGGCACGATTTAC